TTTAATTCATGTTTTTTCAAATGTTTGACATTTGAAAAGCTATAATATTCAATTAGTAATTTCATCGTACAATTTGTTATTTTAGTTTTCTTTAAGGTCGAGCAAGTAACTGCATTAGAATATTTTTGTTTCTATTTAACGTGTTTCAAGTTTAAATCTAATAATGACTTAGAATCCTGAAAAACTTAAAAAGGCCTAACTCACCCGTATAATACTTTGCCAGGGCTTCTCCAGATATCAATCTTGATTTTATTGGGGATGCATTTGCCAAGAGGAAAAGGAGCAAGAGGCAGCAAGGCGTTCAAATTTTGACTTCGACAAGCGCCTCCAGAGGCAAAGCATCAGTGCTCGAATTTTCAATCTCTTACAAATGAAAGGACATGATAATATATTTTTTCTTACGATTACTAAAATCTTTTTAGTACGATCACGACAATGGTAGTTTATAATTTTTGTATTTTATGATTACGACTACGGGTATACAACTATAAACATTGGTTCATGGATGTTTGTATTTAGGTAATTTTATGTTACTACAAAATGCATTTAAATGAAATGTATTTTTGTATACGTATTTTTAATCGGTTTTGTTAAAGAACTAAATAATGGTGTTCGTCAATTGCTCCAGGTGTAGAATACATGTATGGCACGTCTATTAATTTTTTATTCATTCAATATACTTCGTTTCATTAACAATCAATCCATATTATGACGATTTAAGTTCATATAGCCCTTTGTCAATTTAGTTTTGCTAATAACTTTTACTATATATTGTTTTATTACTATTTTTATTGATAACGTATTTGAATATTTTCCTTTTTCACCTTTCGAAATGCTACCTCGTGCATCGCACGGGTGTAGTACTAGTTTATATTAAAGAAAACGAAAAACCCTAATCAAATTAGGAAAACGAGAAAATTACCAAAAAAAGGCAAAAAATGAAATAACTCATAAACCTAGTAGAATACAAAAAATTGGAAATATTCCCACTTGCGGATTCAAAATTTTCTTAAAATAGCAAAAACTTGGCCCCACACAATTCCGCCCCCGCCACCTGTTCATCATATAGGTTTATTTTTCGAAAGAAAATCAGAATTTTTCGGAATTAATTTTGAAAATTAAATTGGATCGAAAATTGGAAATTACAATTTTCTTATATAATTCCACTTCCAATCTAAAAAAATGGAAAATTCGGAAATCGGAATTTTGGAAGTCTGAATGAAAAAAAAAAGTTCCAAAATCGGAACTGACTGAAATTGGAACTTCTGTTTCAACTTGCACCCCTAATTCCACCAAATTACTCACCATACTCCACCTCAAATACCTATTCCAGCTATACCCTTATTTATTTTGTGGGAAAACTACGGGATAATTACAGTTTTGGTCATCCAAGTTTGCACGTTTTTCACTTTTTGTCCTCCATTTACCGCCATCAACAAAATACACTCTACTGTTGTTATATTTTAACACATTGAGTCCCTCGGTCCGTTTGACCGTAAAGAAGAAATAGTTGAACTAGGGCTGAATGTGGGATTTTTCTTTGAGAAAATTGCAATAAGACCCATGTATTCTTTCAAACTATTCAAAATACCCCTAAAATTTTATCCAACCCTAATTTAACCTCAATTTTATTAGTTAACCAATTTAACCAATGACCCCAATTTTTCAAATCGGTTAATCCGAATTTGACTTTCTTTTTAACTAGGTTGACTCTTTTTTCGATTGATTTTTTTCTTCCCGTTGTTGACCGATGTAGTGTGTCGATTTAACTGCGTTGACTTTTTTTTCTTGATTTTTATTTTATTTTTATTTAAATTATTGAGTAGCGTGAAAAAATATTTTGAAAAAAAAAGTCAAAGTTGATAACCGATGGGAAAAATAATGTCATACAAAAAGTCAAAATAAAAGAAAAGGGAAAAAGTCAACGCAACTCAACGATAGGGAAAAAAAATTAATGGCCGGTGTTAGGTCCAAATATCGTTGCACTAGAGTGGTTGTCTCATTTCCCAATTATTATGCACATGCCTAATTCATCTTCTTCATATTTTTTTGGAGGAAATTTGGGATGCGCAAGCGGTTCCACGAATAAAACATTGAGAGGAAGAATTTTAAATTGTATTTTGGCCCCAAAATTTTAGATAAAAACCTTGTTAGAAGTTTGTAATTTTAATATTATGATGCTAGATATTGATATAGTAGCATCATTGTGTTACACATAATAATATTGTGTTGATCCAAAAAAAAAATCACGAAAAATAAAAAGTCAAAATTGTTAACCGGCAATTCAATATCGGTAAACGAGCGGCGGCAAAAAAAATATTCAAAAAAACTAGTCAACGTCGAAAAAAAAATAGAAAGGAAAAATCAACGGCGATGAGCGATAACGGTGGCAAAAATCGGGGTCGTTTGTCAAAATTGATTAATTGGTGAAATTAGGGTTGAATAAAATTTTATGGGTTTTTAGAATATTTTGAAAGAATAAAGGGGTCTGGCTGCAATTTTTGCAAAGAAAAATCTCAAATTCAGCGTTAATTCTACAGTTGACCGTTGCTTCTTGACGGTGAAACAGACTGACGCAGAAAGGAAGCACGGTAAATAATTAATTTCTACGAATTAATCTGTAGAACAAACAAATTCCGGAATCCACCAAAAAGTTGAGAAAAGAACTCTCGATTATATTGATAAGGAAAAAATTTAACGTCCTAGAAAATAAACCTACTGCATCAATATATAATACGTAAAGCAAGAAATCCTAATTAAACTAGAAAATAGAAAATTACCATAAAATAGAACTCAAAATATCCTAGGACTCTAACTATAGGATATTGGAAATAACTAAATATTAAACATGTTAGGACTCTAATTCTGATGAATTACTCGTCCCTTATCAATCCCCTCTTTTTTGAAAGAACTCGACTCTGAGTTCATATCTGGATAGAGTGGATCATTCTCACGATACTCATATAAGTCAGCAATGTTAAAAGTTTTTGAAATGCCCATGGTTGATGGAAGATCGATCACATATGCATTGTCATTGATCTTATGCAAAATTTTGAAAGGACCATACTTCTTCGGTTTCAATTTGCTGTAAGTGTCCGCCGGAAACCGCTCCTTCCTAAAAAACACCATGATAGAGTCACCAACCTCAAAAACCTTCAAACGACGCAACTTGTCTGCAGCCGCCTTGTATTTGGCATTCCTTTGCTCGAGTCTTTCCTTAACCTCGACTTGAATGTCATGAACCTCATTAGCCAATCGTTCTGCCGCAACACTAGCCCGATGCTCTTTAGGTAGTCGTATTAAATCCACCACATGCTTCGGAACAGCCCTATACACCAAACAAAAAGGAGACACACCTGTTGCAGTATGCACGACACTGTTATAAGCGAACTCAGCTTGAGGTAAAGCATGATCCCATTGTTTAGGTCGATCCCCACAAATGCATCGAATTAAATTCCCTAGTGTTCAGTTAGTCACCTCTGTCTGCCCATCGGTTTGGGGATGCGCCGTGGTACTTCGATTCAGCGAAGTATCGAACATCTTCCATAGTACGATCCAAAAATGGCTCAAAAATTTTACATCCCGATCAGAAGTGATTGTCTTTGGAACGCCATGCAAACGAACTATGTCCCGGAAAAATATCCTTGCAATGTGCGAAGCGTCCGATGTATTTCGACAGGGGATAAAATGAGCCATTTTGGAAAACCGGTCAACCACCACAAAAACCAAATCAACTCCACGTTGTGTCCGAGGCAACCCCAACACGAAATCCATAGATAATCCTCCCAAATACCACTAGGAACAGAAAGAGGAGTGTATAGCCCGGTGTTCTGCGATTTGCCTTTAGACACTTGACAAATATAGCACTTTGCCACCACCTTTCCCACGTCTTTCTTCAGTTGAGGCCAATAAAATCGCTCTTCTACACTGCAGATTTTCTTATCACGTCCCTAATGACCACCTAGTCCTCCGGCGTGCAATCAAGAATCAACTTCTCGCGAAGAGAAGCTCTCGGAATGCACAATTGATTACCACGAAATAAAAATCCTTCGCTGATGTAATAATCATCAAGGGTTTGTTTTGCAACACATTCACTCCAGATTTTGCCAAAATCCTCATCATCTTCATATAATTCCTTCAAATAGTCTAAGCTAACCACCTCTTCGCTTAGAGTTGTAAGTAGAGTCGCCCTGCGACTCAAGGCATCCGCGACACGATTCGTAGCTCCACTTTTATGCTTAATCACGAACGGGAATTTTTGCAAGAAATTCGTCCACCTCACGTGCATATTATCCACATTTTTTTGGCTGTTCAAAAACTTCAAGGCCTGATGATCTGTACATAACACAAACTCCCGCTGAATTAGGTAATGTTCCCACTGCTTCAGGGCTCGAGCCACTGCGTAAAACTCTTGATCGTAAGTGCTCCACTTCTTACGGGCATCGCTCAACTTCTCGCTGAAGAAAGCAACGGGCCTCCTCTCTTGGGATAAGACCGCCCCAATGCCAACTCCACTTGCGTCACATTTTACTTCGAACACTTTGGCAAAGCTAGGTAACGCAAGCACTGGTGTAGTACTCAGCTTTTCGATCACTGCAAAGCTATGGTCCGCGTCTTCGCCCCAACGGAATTTCCCTTTCTTCATGCACTGCGTAATAGGCGCCATTATTGTACTGAAATTTCGAATGAATCGGCAATAGAAAGTAGCCAGTCCATTAAAACTACGAACATTTGAAACGGTTTTAGGCGTTGGCCACTCCCTTATAGCCCTTACCTTCTCATTATCAACTTGAATCCCATCTGCACCAACTACAAACCCCAAGAAAACCAAACTTCTCGCCATGAAAGTGCACTTCTTCAAATTAATTAATAGTTTATTCTCCCGCAACACAATTAATACTTGGCGAAGATGATCCATATGCTCGGTTTCATGCTTACTATAAATCAATATATCATCAAAATAAACCACCACAAATTTTCCAGCAAAAAGGTCTTAATACCTAATGCATCACGCACATAAATGTGCTCGGTGCGTTTGATAGTCCGAATGGCATCACTAACCACTCGTACAACCCATCCTTCATTTTAAATGATGTTTTCCACTCGTCCCCTGGTCGAATCCGAATTTGATGGTAACCGCTCCTTAAGTCAATTTTCGAGAATAGCTTAGAGCCCTCCAACATATCCAACATATCATCAAGTCGCGGGATGGGAAAACGATATTTGACGGTAATCCTGTTGATTGCCCGACTATCAACACACATTTGCCAACTGCCATCCTTCTTCTTCACGAGTAGCACTGGAACTGCACACGGACTCATACTCTCTATAATAAATCCCTTCTGCAACAATTCTTCTATTTTCTCCCGCAACACCTCAGAGTCTTGAGGACTCATTCGATAATGGGAAAGGTTTGGTAAGCTAGCGCCAGACACGAGATCAATGTGATGCTGAATATTTGTCATCGGTGGAAGACAGTTGGGTAGTTCATCAGACAACAATTCGCTAAATTCAGCGATTAGTGGTTGCACCAACTCAGGAGTCACCGGTTTTGACTCGTGGTCATCCTGCTCATTTTGAACCCCTAATAGCTTGAAGCTCATCATATACCACTCATCTGCCGACTTCATCTCATTCACGAACTCTCCTTCTGACTGAGAGATTGAAAATACTGGTCTATCAACTGCCTTTGTCTCCCGAACGGGATCGTTCGATGGAAGCATGATAATTTTTCGACCTCCCCATTGAAACATGCACGAGTTATCGCGACCCCTATAAATAACGTCCACATCATAATGCCACGGCCTCCCCAATAAGACGTGGCTAGCATCCATATCAATAACATCACAGAGCATCTCGCTGGAATCGTGTTTCCCGATGGAGAGGGGCACTCGGCAATGTTCAGTTACTTTAGCCGTCGGTCCCTTCTTAACCCATCCAATCAAGTACGGCAATGGATGCTTCTCCACTGGTAATTTCAGATAATCCACCAACCGTTTAGCTACAAAGTTTTCGCAACTACCATTATCCACAATTAAATCACACACCTTTTTGTTAACGGAGCAGTAAGAACGGAATAGATTATTCCGCTGATTTAGTTGTTTCGCTGCACATAGAACACGTTGCACTACACAATTGACTCGATCCCCTTCTTCCTCAGCTAATTCTGCCCTCTTGTAATCTTCCTGATTGTCATCCTCAAGACTCTGCTCGAACTCACCATCTTCTTCCACGCCATCTACTATTCCAACCGGCTTGCGTTCTGGGCACACGATAGATCGATGGCCAGGCTTGTGACACCTATAGCAAAGATTTGGGGCTGGTCTAGCATAGGGGTTGTTGTTGTTAGGTCGAGGTTGGGTTTGGTTGCTCGAACCGACTGCGTTGCCCAGCCTTGTCTGCACCCGTTGTGGTCGCGGTGGTGGGGTATTAGGAGTAAGATTTTGCCCTACCGATTTACCTTTGTCAACAGGTGGATTATATTCTAGAGTGGATCTCCGATAATTACTCACACTCTTCTGTTTTTCAAATTCCTCTGCTCGCAACGCCATACTCTGAGCCTGATCAATGGTATAAACTGCTTGTAGACCGATTCGATCACGTATATTGACCCTCAACCCGTTCAAATATCGTGGCACTTGTTGGTTCTCAGACTCTCGCAGATTATTGCGATCTGCCAGACGTAAGAATTCAGCTATGTATTCATGCACCGATCTATTACCTTGCGAACAATTGTGGTATAAATTGTACAGGTGTTGCTCGTAGTCGGATGGTAAAAACCGATCCTTCATTAACCCCTTCATCCGTCTCCAAGACTGTACAAGACCTTTTCCTTGCCGGGTCCGTGATCGTTGTAATTGCTCCCACCAAACGGCTGCCCCGCTTTTCAATTTATATGCGACCACCTTAACCATCCTTTCCGGCGGTGTCTCCATTACGTCGAATGCTCTCTCCACCTCGACCATCCAGTCCAAAAAGTCCTCGATGGAAAGATTCCCGTGGAAAGGGGGAATTTCCGCCGTTATTCGATAATTGTCCTGTCTCTGTCTGGGCTGATCTCCCTCTATTATCGCCTAATCATCTTCTTCTGACTCTTCGTCACTTTCATATTGAAGACGAAGCTGATTTTGATTCCTAACTCGTGCGCCTCGGGCCATCTCCCCAGCGCGGGCCAGGTTAGGCTCGCCCCTCCTGTTGTTGCCATTGAGGGAAAATCCCCCTAGCAATTCCCGAAGTTGCCGCAACTCACCTCGAATCTCTACTCGAAATTCCTCTATAGCCTGTCGAGATTCTTCTCGAGCGAGCTCGACTGCTGCCCGAATGTTATCAACCTCGAGGTCATCACCATCGCGGTTGTCGTCTCCTTGTTTCGCACCTTTCGCCATCTAACCAGGAAAAACCTCGCTACTGATGCCAACTGACGCAGAACGGAAGCACGGTAAAGAATTAATTTCTACGAATTAATCTATAGAATAAACGAATTCCGGAATCCACCAGAAAGTTGAGAAAATAACTCTCGATTTTATTGATAAGGAAAAAATTTAACGTCCTAGAAAATAAACCTACTGCATCTATATATAATACGTAAAGCAAGAAATCCTAATTAAACTAGAAAATAGAAAATTACCATAAAATAGAACTCAAAATATCCTAGGACTCTAATTATAGGAAATTGAAAATAACTAAATGTTAAACCTGTTAGGACTCTAATTCTGATGAATTACTCGTCCCTTATCACAGACCTAGGGACTCAATTCATCCCTCAAGTTTGCATTGATTTCATATTTCGTCATTCATGTTCAACAAAAACACATTTGGTCCCTCATGTTTCAGAAATTCAACTTTTCTAGTCATTCCCGTTAATTTTCCGTTAGTACTAACGGAATCAAGCGTGTGCCAGTGACCGTCTTATTATGATAATTGTTTAGGGGAAATAGATATCCTATTTCTTGAAATTATATGAGTGGAGATCATATGGTTTGATGAATATAAATGTAGGTCATTTGAAACTAAAAAATAATATAAATTAAATAAAAAAAAAGTTACTAGACATAAGTACCCTCACAATTACTAATCTTTGTTTTTGTTTGAATTAGTTATTTACATACGGGGTTTACTATTCATAGTGCAAATTTTTTCAGTTACAGTGCGAAATAATTCATTTGTCAAGAAACCCTTTAACCTTTTTCGAAATCCTCTCAACCTCCAAATATACCGACTTTTGTAGATCGTGATATGTTTTCGTTACAATCAGTTAAAACCCAACAGTTATCAAGATGGCCAATATAGATCCCGTAAATGAGGTAAACAATTACGTTTTTGTCTAATTTTTTTCGATTTTCAGTCGTTTCAAATTATTCATGTCTTTTCGTGGTATTTTGTACGAAATTAACATTATATTCGTGTTTACCAGTAATTTCGTACAAAACATTACGAAGTTATAACTAATATTTCGTGTAAAACCACACAAAAAAGCAGTAAATTTTTTTTGTTATGAGTTTCTTACATTACTTCACGAAATATATATACCTATTTCGTGTACTATTACACGAAATCCCTAGTTATTTTTCTGTTTTTTTTTTGTGCAAGTATCTAACTTTTTTTTTTACGCATCCATATGAAGACAATTTGTATTTTGATCCCTCGGTTTTGGAGCGAAACGAATATGAAGATTTCTCTCACTTCTTCCAAGTTGATATTGTATTCGATAGTAGGGAAGAATTAATCAAGTGGGCCAAAGCAACTGCAGTTAGTCATTGTCACCGTTTGATTTGTCAGTCTAGAATGGAGAAAGCACAGTACTTGACGTGTGACAAATACGGACATGGCCGACAGACGAATATCGATGTGGAAGATCCTATAAACAGTGGAACATAAAAATGTGGTTGTCCGTTCAAATTGATTGGCAAAAAGTCAAGGTTTGATGAATTATGGCGGTCGACTGTCAGCGATGGCAGACATACTCATCCTCCGGCTTTGTTTCCTTAGGGACATGGTACGACTAGTCGTATAACTCCACAATAGAAAGCAAGAATTAAAGAATTGAGAAATTCTCACGTGAAGCCAATGCTAATCATGGATAGATTGAGGAAAGATGATCCGACGATACAAACCTCTATGAAGCATGTTTACAATGAGTTGCCCAAGATTAAATCTGAGGAAATGGAGGGCATGACTATTATTCAGTTTATGGTGCATAACTTTCAACAAGGCGAGTATCAATATTGGCATCGCGTCGATAGTGAAACGAGCAACACAATAACTGATGTTATGTTTGCATGTCCCGAATCTATTACGTTACTACGGTTGTTCACGTATGTTATATTGATGGAGTTCGCACATACAAAACCAATAAGTAAGTAAAAATATAATTACGATTGTTTAAATTATGATTGTTGTGTTTTAATGTATTGTATTGTTTAAATATAGATCACCATAGATAGTTGAAGAAGGATGAGCTGGAAGAGCAGAGTGGATCACTGGCTCACGAGCTTGATGACCTTGAGATACCTGCGATCATAAAACACGTGAACTAGGCCGGGGGTTGATCCGGTGGAAATCCCTCCGACGCTCAAGTCAGACGTGCGGATATAGAAATATTCCAGAGAATACATGTTGTAGTATTGCTCAGTTAATAGGACGTACCTTGAGAAATGAGTTCAAACTTTATTTATAGCTTAGATGGGAGCTTAGATGAGATTGTTAGGCCCAAACCTTATTTGAAAGTGATTGGGCCTCTGTGATTGTGGTCTTCAATATTGGGCTCGTTGGCCCAATTAGGCATATCATTAAGCCCCCTACTCTTGAGTCGATGTGGGGGCCATATTGAAATGGATGACAGATCGTGTCGAGAGTAAAAATTGTAGTAGTCGCTTGTTGGCGTATGGCCTGATGGTGTGCGAAAACGCATTGGAGCGTGTGTCGGAGGGGCGTGCAGGCGCGTTGGCGCATAGTGCGACCAAGTTGTCGCGATGTAAGTTACTTGAGTCGTCGGTTTTGTCCCGCGACGATGTGGTAGTGCAGATCGAGTTATCTCCACGTGGGAGTTGTTATTTATTGACATTGTCAATGGTTTGACGCGTTGCTTGTATGTGTTTACATATAGCCTTGTGCGTGATGTACTTGATGAGTGGATCATGCTATTAAGATTTTTTTTAATGGGGATCGTGCCCCTTGTTAGACCCCGTGGCCACGTTTTAATGAATGACCGATCGAAGACAAGTAGAGAAATTTGAGTAATCGAGCTGGCCAGGCTATATAGATTCCCATAGTATCTCTAAGTGTTTCTAGGGTTGTAATCGTGCTAACTTGAGCTTGTGATTGTGTAGTGAATTGTGAGCGAGTTGTCTCCTCGAGAGAACTGTCTCGCAGTGAAGTTGTTGGGCGTTGGATGACGCGTGACTGAGGAACGTGCGGATTGAGGTCGCTTTGAGCGAGTTGTCTCTTCGTTGGAGTTGTCTCGCAAAGATTCTTATTACCGAGTGAGGTGGCTCTTCATGGGAGTTGCCTTTCAACGGGTTCGTAGTGCCGAGCGAGTTGGCTCCTTGTGGGAGTTGTCTCGCTGCGGGTTGTAGTAGTGAGCGAGTTGTCTCCTCGTGGGAGCTGTCTCGCTGCGGGTTGTAGGACCGAGCGAGTTGTCTCCTCGTGGGAGTTGTCTCGCTACGGGTTGTAGGACCGAGCGAGTGGTCTCCTTGTGGGAGTTATCTCGCTGTGATTTCGTAGACCCGAGGGAGTTGGCTCCTCGTGGGAGTTGCCTCGCAACGGGTTATATGCCCGAGCGAGTTTGCTCCTCGTGGGAGTTGTCCCGTTGTGGGTAGTAGTACCGAGGGAGTTGGCTCCTCGTGGGAGTTGTCTCGCATGGGCTAATAGGACGGAGCGAGTGGTCTGTTCGTGAGAATTATCTCGCTGTGGTTTCGTAGACCCGAGGGAGTTGGCTCCTCGTGGGAGTTGCCTCGCGAGGGATTATAGGACGGAGCGAGTGGTCTCCTCGTGGGAGTTGCCTCGCAACGGGTTATAGGACGGAGCGAGTGTTCTCCTCGTGGGAGTTATCTCTTTGTGGTTTCGTAGACCTGAGGGAGTTGGCTCCTTGTGGGAGTCGCAACGGGTTATAGGACGAAGCGAGTGGTCTCCTCGTGGGAGTTATCTCGTTGTGGTTTCGTAGACCCGAGGGAGTTGGCTCCTCGTGGGAGTTGCCTCGCAACGGGTTATATGACGGAGCGAGTGGTCTCCTCGTGGGAGTTATCTCGCTGTGGTTTTGTAGACCCGAGGGAGTTGACTCCTCATGGGAGTTGCTTCGCAACGAGTTGTAGGACCGAGCGAGTTTGCTCATCATGAGAGTTGTCTCGCAAGTCCCCCACTCTCGAGTCAATGTGGGAGCCAAGTCGAAAAGAGTACCGGATCGTGTCGAGAGTAGATCGGTGCTATAGTGTTCCGTTAGTCGTTAGTATGGCGTGGATGAATAATAATTTTTATTTTTTCTGCGGAGAAAGAGCGCTATTGGGTGGGGCGCGTTGGATTCCTTGCGCGATTTGGTAGCACGCGATGAGATTGTCGCGCGATTTGGTGGTGCGCAGTGGAAGTTGCGCGCGATTAAGCGAGTGGAGGGAGGTGCGCGCGCGAATTGATGTTCGTAGAACCGATATCGCAACTCTTGTGGAGTGACGCGCGTATCTAGGACGCGCATGAGGATCAATGTTGCACGGTGCAGAATCACGTGGGTCGAGGTCGCTCGGTAGAGGATCACGTGGATCGAGATCGCGGGCGCAAATGATGGTCCCGCGGTGGAGGAGGAGCACGCGCACGTAGCGCGGTTGGAGATGTCGGAGCGTGCAATGCGCGATCGGCGTGGAATCAAGTTGAGAATAGATTGGTGTTGTGGTGTACCGTAATTGTTGGCGTGGTGTGGATAAATAATAATTTTTATTTATCCGTTTGAGAGAGTATGCGATTTGGTGAGGCGCGCTGG